TGTAATAGTCAGAGCAATCAGAACAAGAAATGAGAAACTAATGTCTAGCTTCACAGAATCAACAGAGATTGGCTCACTCCTTACCAACTGAAGCAGTCAGTCATGAAAAACTGAGCCTAACCAGTATTTACCATCTTACTTTTTCTTGGTTCATTAAGAGCTACATCAGTGGGTTCTGCATGTTTATAAAGTCCCCATTAGGGATTATTTTAGCAAACAGATGCATTCATTTACTGAGCTAAAAAAGAAGTTTCTTGTTGTAGTATTGCTTGCTGCCCATTTATAACACTCTGGTCTCCCAGGGATTGTGAGGGAATGTACAATGATAGTGATGTTATTTTCATGCCTGCTTATAAAACATCTTTTCTCCAGCCTGTTGATCAAGGACTCATTGTGGTGTTAAAGCTGTGTGTTGAAGAATTACTGTTCATTGTTTCTTATATGACACAGACAGTAACTCTTCAACTGACCTGGACAAGGAACACAAACATCTGCAATGATTCAGCATTGTAGATGGCAACAAGAAACTCTGAGACACCAGAAATGGCAGAATTAAGTACCACTTGAGAATAGAGGATTTTTTGTGGTTTTCATGATAAATGTCTCCCATAGTCATATGAATACATGGTCTCTAGTTGCTAGTATGGTTTGAGGATGTTTGTGTGTGGTCTTTTGTAGGAAACATGTCACTGGAGGAGGGCTTGGAGAGTTTAAAACCTTTTCCCAGTTTGCTTGCATTTGAAGACGTGAGTTCTCAGCATCTTGCTCCATGCATCATGACTCCTATTTGCTTCCATTCCTGCCTAACACAACAGACTCTTATCCTGTCACTATAAACCCAAATAAACCCCACCTCCTGTTAAGTTGCCTCGGTATGGTTACCTTATCACAGCAACAGAAAAGTAATTAAAACATATTCCTATAAAAATCTAGTTTGAGGATTTACGATACAAGCTAAGGAACAATCTTGAGAGTATCTTTGTTGGTGTGACAATTAGAAATAAATGTGGAGCCTGCATTGTAGCTGGAGAATTTCCAGCTCCGTCCAAGTTCTGCCAGTCCCGGAACCCACTTATAAAATAAACACACAGACTCTTACATTATTTAAACTGCTTGACCATTAGCTCAGGCCTATCATTGTCTAGCTCTTACTCTTATATTTAGCCCATTTCTGTTAATCTTTACTTTGCCACGTGGCTTATGGCTTACCAGGACTTTACATCTTCCTTGTCCTGGTGGGGGTTCCAGGCAGTCTTTCCTTTCCTTCCTCCTTCCTCAATTCTCCTCTCTGTTAGTCCTGCCTATACTTCCTGTCTGGCTATTGGCCAATCAGTGTTTATTTATATAGAGCGATATCCATAGCACTGCATATGTGATGAGATTGCTGATACCTCCTGACAGCATCAGAAAGAAGGTTCTTCACAGATAAGGAATGAACTTCTTTTGTTCATGGAGTTCAGAGCTAGTAAATACCCATTGTCATGTGAGAATATAGGGTTTATCATATGGATGATGTAGTTAGGAATGCAGGAATAAGTTCTGAGAGGATCTACCCTAATTATGAAGGAATTTCTAGCACAGAGAAGTGCTGTCACCTAGCATCTTCTATGACAGAGAAGTCTTACAGAAGAAAAGGTGAATTGTATTTGATATTCACAGTTTTCTTATTCTACTATGTAGCCACAGCACCCAGATCTTCAAAATCTCCACAGTGATCAGTCAGTTATGATCTGGAAAGGACATGTTTCCACTGTCCATAGCTTATGATTGCAAAACCGAACTCATCATCTGCATCAGAAAATAAGTTGAATTAAGGTCTGTGTATTCATTTTGACCTAAGTCTCCTTCAACAAACTGTTCCATATTCTTCATATATATTTATTTTTAAATCTAAAAATATTTTATGTGTATAGGTGATTGGGTTGCATGTATATCTGTGTACTGTATGCAAGCCTGATGCCCCTAGAGGCCAGAAGAGGGCATTATATCCCTTGGAACTAGAATATAACTGGGTACAATTGGTTTCTCAGTGCATTTAAATGTATAAAGAGGGATTGGAGAGATGACTCAGAGATTAGGAGCACTAGCTGCTTTTCCAGAGGGCCCATATTTGATTCCTAGCACCCACATGGCAGCTCACATCATCTGTAACTCCAGTTCCGGGGAATCTGTGGTGCCCTCTTCTGACCTCTGCATGCAGCAGGTGCAAAATTTGTGCACATGCATACAAACATACACATGGAATTAGTAAGTAAATAAATAGAAATAATTAAAAAAGAAATTATTAAAATATCCATTAATAATCAAAAGACAAAAAGTATGATATATATGTAATGTATACACATACATCATAATGGCTCCATATTTATGTAAACACGAGATTAGCAATAATTTTCAGACATTCTGAATATATCTTTATTTTGTGATACATAATAAACATAAAATGGAATATATTGTTAAATAAGCTGTATGAGATTAGGAAAATGTCATACATTTGTTATGTGGAAGTACAAAGTTGACCTTAAATCCCAGTACTCAGGAGAAAGAAGCAGGCAGTCTCTCTATAGGACCGAGGCCAGCCAGCACTACTTAGTGATAATTTGACTCTAAAGCAAAGAGGAAATGGGAAGGGACTGGAGAGATGGCTCAGCAGTTAGAAGTATTGGCTATTCTTGCAGAGTACCTGAATCTATTTCCCAGCATCCACATGTTGCTCAAAATCATATATAACAATAGTTCCAGATGATCTGACATCCACCTCTGGCTTCTGCAGACACCAGGCATCCATGGTGCACAGACATACATGCAGCCCAAGCACTTATATATGTAAAAAATAATAAAATAAATTTTAAGCCATTATTTGCTGACAAGGATTGCACTGATTACTTAGACTATTATTGGGAATATGGCCACTTGCACATTGTCATTTATCTTAGTCAATGTGCATGGAAACCCATTTTCTTATTTACTATCTTTCCCTCCCCCCCTTTTTTTTAAATTTAGTGCCTTAAAAATTTTATCACAAGTGACAATGTGTAATGGATTGGCACAAGAGTTCAAACCAGACCATGCACACATGTGCATGTATGTACCTTTTGTTTTAGATTTTTTTTGTCTTGTCCCTTTGTGTTTGTGGATTTTCATTTTTAATTTTTTTGTTGTTTTTCCTGGTTTTTGTTTTTGCATGAGAGAGAGAAAGAGAGAAACATAAAGTTAGGTGGGGAGGGAGGGAAGGAGGATCTGAGAGGAGTTGAGGGAGGGATGAATATATGAAATATATGTAAAACAATTTTAAATAAAAATTTTACAATTCATCTTAGAAGTTATTTAGCTCCATAGTTAAGCTTATTCCTGTGCCTTTTGAAAAGTGCTGTTAGTGGATTAATTTCCTAATTTATTTCTGCATGTGCTCATTTTAGGCACATGGGAAAATTAGTAATTTTATGTTAATTTTCTGTTCAGTATTACTTAAAGCACTTATCACATCTAACAGTTTCTCATGGTGTCTGTGGGACTTGTATTTATATGATCATGTCATCACTGAAAAGTAGTTTGATGTATTCCGTTCCTACTTTCATTGCTTTTTTTTTCTTTTTCAGTTTTCTCATGCTAACTTATTATTATTATTTTTTTTGTTTTTTTGTTTTTCGAGACAGGGTTTCTCTGTGTAGTTTTGATGTCTGTCCTGGGTCTTGCTCTGTGAACCAGGCTGGCCTCGAACTCACAGAGATACGCCTGGTTCTGCCTCCCAAGTGCTGGGATTAAAGGCGTGCACCACCACCGCCCAGCTTCAAGCTAACTCTTAATACTCTTTATTAAATGAAACTGAAGAGAGTTTGTGTATTTTTTCTTGTTAAAATTTTATAGGTAAAGGCTGAAGAGATGGCTCAGCAGTTAGCACTTGTTGCTTTCAGAGAACCGGGGTTCAGTTCCAGTACCCACATGACCCCCCACAAGCAGGGGATCCAGCACTCTCTTCTGAACTCCAGAGGCACCAGATACACACATGGTGCACATACATACTTGCTGGCAAAACACTCATAAAATAAATAAATCTTAAAAATTGCCGTGTTAGAAATAATTATATACATATTTTTCTTTGCCCTGCACTGTTGTCTTAATTTTGGCATACACATCCTTTATTGTGTGAGCTCTGTTCCATGTATTCCTAGTTCCTTTAGAAGTTTTATCATAAATACTTGCTAAGCTTTGTGAGATGACATTTCTGTTTCTATTGAGAATTTTATTCCATAGGATTTCTTCCCTCTGATTTCATTGATATTCTTGGTGGTTGGATTATTGGTAGTACATTTCTGTCTTCCTTCTTGAAATTAATCCTTTGCTGTGTTTGGACACATTTGGTTGTATTACGCAAATGAAATGTATCATGGATATTTTCTAATGAGTCTGTTTATGGTTTGTCCCTATTTGTTATCTGTAGTGCTACTTTTGGCTGAAATGAATTGTGTTAATTTGTGTTCATCTTGAAATGTTCTTCTCCAGCAATTTTACAAGGCAGTTTTTCTGGGTGCAACAATATGGTTGACACTTCTTTGCTTTCAGGCCTTTAAATATATATCCCATGCTCACCTGGCTTTAGGATTGTTGACACAGCATCTGGCATTATTCCGGGGGTTTGTTCCTCTTACGTTGTCATTGTTTCTTAAAAAATTTTAGTATTAATTTTAGCATTTTATGTTTGACATTTTGATATGGAAGGACCAGAAGAATTTCTATCATTGTTCTTAATACAAAAGGCTGAGAGAAGAGAGCAACAGGGAGAAATGGCTGGTTCTCTGGTAAACACATCTCAGGTGGGTAGTAATGTCTACTTTTCTGTTAGAAATGTTATATATTGAAACCTTGAGAGCCTTTAATTATCTGCTTCTGACAATGTTATCTAAAGTGTTTAATTTCCATAATTTTTTGTCTCCTTATATATAGAAAAGCACTCTATTTAGTATAGTAGTTCATGATAAAACTATGGTTTGTTATTTCAGGGTCTGTTGACATTCAGGGATGTGGCTGTGGACTTCTCCCAGGAGGAGTGGGAATACCTGGACTCTATTCAGAGGGCTTTGTACATTGATGTGATGATGGAGAATTACAGCAATCTGGTCTCTGTGGGTGAGAATATTTTTATTGCAGAATTCCTAGGTCAATCTGTCAGTCTTTGCATGGCTCTAGGTACTTGACCTGAGTAGTGGCAGTGAAAGAATGAAGAAAAAAAACACATGAACACCCAGAAAAGCTGAGGTCAGGTGGGCTTAGTTCTTAGATGGAGAAACCACAGCACCCTGGAAACTCAGTATGTTTATTACATAGAGTTGAAGAAGGAGGTGGGGCTACTGCATAGAGCTGAACAACGAAGTGTGATTTTATATGAATAAACAAGCAGGATTATGGTATACAAGGAGGCAGGTTTATGGTATACAGTTGAATCAAAGGGACAGATTTAGTTAAATTTATTAGGAGCAGTCACTGTAGTAGGGGAGCAGTCTTAAGGCCATAAACATTTAGGAGAAGAAAGCTAAAATGGACATTTTCTGCACACACGGTCATTGTTTCCATATAGACCCCAGAGGAAGACTTTACTATCTTTCTAAGCCTCACCCTGAAGAGGAAGACTTCATCATTTTCCCATAGGTCTGAGACTGTGGTCCTTGACATGGCCAGTTCTGTAACAATGGACTCTCACTCAGGACTTCACAGACTCAGGGCTTCCTCAGCTCCTGACATTCATCCTTTGTATGCATCAGCTTTTTAGTGTGTAGACTCTGTGAAGCTGTCTCACAAACTAAAGGAAATTATCAAAATTTTGGTAGTAGAAATGAAGTTTTTCTTTGCATTATGTGTTTGTTTTGTCCTCCCTTTTGGAGGTATTATGCATCCTTCATTTTTGTTCTATGATACATTCAGAAACTCAAAAACATATAGTGTGCCCACCCATATCTTAAAGTTCCATTTTTATCATTCATCTGATACAGTTTTAAAATCCAAAGGCTGAAAATATTTCCTAAATATCTTCAAGATACTGACAGGAAATAACAATTGGCAATTTGTTTCTAGAATTCTTTATTTTGTGCTCTGGTCATCTGCTGAGCAGAATATTGTGTTAGCTTAGATGTCCAGGTAATTTTTTAAAGAATCTAGCAAGGGTTATGTTCCACTTTACAAAGCACAGGAATTGTCTGCAGGGTAGACTTGGTCACCTCTTGGAAGCCAGACAAAGTATCCTTAAATGTGAGGAGAGAGGAGACAATAACCAGATAGACAGAGAACCAGGTGGTGTTGTGAATGAATGAACAGGTCCAAAATAAGGGGTTTAAGTAAAACAGGAAGTACTGTCTGAAAAAGGCTTTACCACATTCAGTTCCACTCACAGTAATTCTTGAAGTTGCAAAATGGTGTCCTCAAGATGCATCAGAAGACTCTATGTCTTATTATATCTGAGTTATATTGACTTAATACTAGTATGCAAATGCTGTCATCTTGAAATGATTGTATGTTTTATAATCTGTCATAAGTCCATGAAGTAGGATTATTCTTTAATTACCTTCCTTGTAAATATATTACATCCTTTATTTTTAAAAATAGTATAATCTATCATGACTCCATGTAATTGCCTTCCTTGTAAGTTGAATTCATCATGTTGAATTCATCATGTTGAATCCTTCATTTGTTTTCTTAGTGGAATTGCCCTTCCAGAAAGTTATCTCAGGAACCAGTGAAAGCAGTGGTCTGGGGAATTTCCATTTAAGGAAATAGGGAAAACACAGTAGTATGTGGATCTAAGTCAACATAGGGTTAGAAATAAGCAATTACTGACAATGATGTCTCTTCCTCTAATGATCTACAGCATATGATACCTAGCAGAAATATTTATTTTGCCCTCACTTTTGAATACTCAACATATCTTTGAGAAAAATGCCCTATGAAAGTTTTAAGGAAGCATTTAATTTTAAAAGAACTTAAGTATTCTAAAGATTAATCTTTGCTGCATATACTTAAGTAAATATTATAAATGCAGTATTGAATTAAACTATTTCTTTATTAATTTCTGAAAAAATTTAAATAAGTAATGTATTCTAAATATAGTCAGAAAGCTCCATCCCAAATTTAATTACTGATTCCTCAGTTACTTGTGCCAAGTTATACATTTTTAGATGAGAATGAAGGGGCTACTATAAATCATTGATCCTTGAAGATTATTACTGTGTACATTTTTGTGGGAATCCATAACAATCATAATGGGCAAAAAAATCTCCACTACTGAGAGCTCTATTTTAAATTACTAGTTTACTTAAAAGAGAGAACTTAGGGAAACAATTATACATTGAATCTGTTTAATCTTATATCAAACCCTATTAATGTACTCATTTTTCAGAGAACTATTGCATGTGTGCGATTGTCCATCAACATATGGATAGTGAAGAGATATATTCTAAATGTAATGATCTTGACAAAATCCTTCATGAATCCAACAGATATACAGTTTATAAAACAAGTAATACTACAGAATATTTTGATAACTTTAGCTGTGATTGTAGTCACAGGAATACCTCGATTGAATCATCAAATCTAAATAGAGATAAAAGCATGCACACTGGAGAAGAAACTTGCAAATGTAAAAATTCATTATTTGCCACTACCTACAAACTTACACAACATGCAGTCTGTATTGGAGAGAAACCACACAAATTTAGGAAGTGTGGGAAATGCTTTGGTTCCTGCTCAAGCCTCACTGGACATCCAAGAATTCATACTGGAAAGAAGCTATATAAATGTGATGCTTGTGACAAATCCTTTACCCATTGCTCAAATCTTAGAACACATAAAAAAATTCATACTGGAGAGAAACCTTATAGATGCAATGACTGTGGTAAGTCTTTTCTTCAGTTGTCAGCACTTAAAAGCCATTTCATTGTCCATACTGGAGAGAAGCCTTACAAATGTCAGGAATGTGACAAATCCTTTGCCCATGGTTCCACTTTCAGGAGACATAAGAAAATCCATACTGCTGAGGAACTTTATACTTGTCAAGAATGTGGCAAAGTGTTTTATCAGTTGCTATACCTTAAAAGCCATTACAGAACCCATATTGGTGAGAAGCCTTACAAATGCAGTGAGTGTGACAGATCATTTATTCACTGTTCATCTTTTAGAAAACATCAGAAAATACATTCTATAGAAAAACTATACATGTGCAAAGAATGTGGTAAGACTTTCCTTGAGTTGTCACATCTTAAAAGGCATTATAGAACCCATACTGGAGAGAAGCCTTACCACTGTGAAGTATGTGACAAATCCTTTACCACGAACTCAATTCTGAAAACACATCACAAAATTCATTCTGGAGAGAAACCTTACAAATGCAAAGACTGTGACAAATCCTTTACCCAGCATTCAAATCTTAGAAGGCATCAGAGAATTCATACTGGAGAGAAGCCTTACAAATGTCATGAATGTGACAAATATTTTACCCGATTCTCAACTCTTAGAAGACATCAGAAAATTCACACACTGGAGATAAAAATACCATTGTAAGTAAGTTGGCATATTCTTTATCAAGATCTTTATCTTAGCCAGGCAGTGGTAGCACACACCTTTAATCCCAGCACTCAGGAGGCAGAGCCAGGCGGATCTCTGTGAGTTTGAGGCCATCCTGGGCTATGGAGTGAGTTCCAGGAAAGGTACAAAGCCACACAGAGAAACCCTGTCTCGAAAAATCAAAAAAAAAAGATCTTTATCTTTTTGAGTCACAACAGGATCTATAATAGAGAGAAACAAGGACAAAAGAAATTTTTGAAACTCTTTAATGAAGGTTGGAATCTTAGAAAATATCACAAAAATTTATACTGAAGAAAATACTTGCAAGTGTAACAATGTGGGGAAATCTTCAACAAAAACATTTTTGTAGTACAATATCAAAAATAGATATAATGAGGACAAAATGTAGGAACCTGAAGAATGTGGCCAAGCTCTTAGATTTTGTACCAGTTTTGTTGTATATCAGAAAACCTATACTGAAGAGAAACCATATAAAATATATACCCATGTGCTATCCTCATGTCCTGCTCTTCATTGGAAATTCCACACACCACAGAACCCTCAAAATGCATTCAGTTTGTCAAATCTTTCTTCTAATGCTAACATTGTAGATACATTGGAAAACTCATCCTGAAAGAAACCCAAGAAAATGCCTTAATAAAAATTTGTCTTTTATTCCACCTTCAAAATATTCATTCTGGAGTAAAACTCTACAAATACCAAGAATGTAAGAAACCTTGACAGAGACATGTGAGTGTAACAGCACATGCATGCTTGTGGATAATAGCTCTGAAGTCCTCAAGAATGTGCAGGAAAATCATTTTTAAATACTCAACATGGAGAGGTATTTAGTCCTGCTTCAAAGTGCAATAATAGAAGAGTGATATTAGAAAGACTAAGGCATAAAGACTTGTAGACACTATAAAAGCCAGTGTGTTGTAAAGAACAAAACCAAATGAATACATGAATTTGTCATGTGTTTGAGTGGAAGTGAATTCTTATATTTGAGCAAATAAAATGGTGTTTGGAAACATTTTTTTTTGTATTTCCAATATTAGAGTTTGTTTCAATGTGAACACATGCCATCTTCTTTGAAAATGATTGTGTGATAGTTTTTATCAACTGCTGCTGCATCAAGCCAGACCCTAAGACAGAGACAGAGGGAAATTAAGTAGTTAGTGCCTGGCCCCTGACTACTCTGAGATACTAATCAGCTGGAGAGAATTCTTTGATGCCAATATCAGATTTGTAAATAACTGTACAACCCACCATGCCATCTTCCAGTTCCTATATTCTTGCTGTCTGCCCCCCTGTAAAGGTCTCTGAGCCTTGGAGGATGAATTACCCAGGATTTTTTAGAGCAGTGGTTCTCAGCCTTCCTAAGTATTACCCTTTAATATAGTTCCTCATGTTGTGGTGATCTCCAACCATAAAATTATTTTAAGTGCTACTTCATAATTGCAATTTTCCTACTGTTATCAATAATGTAAATATCTGTTTTCCAATGGTCTCAAAGGAGTTTTGACCCACAGGTTGAGAACCACTGCTCTAGAGGAACAGAACTGATAGGATGAATC